ATCCGCCTAGTCAAAGCCATGGTATTCCCTGTCGTAACCTACGGATGTGAGAGCTGGACCTTAGGGAAGGCTGAGCGAAGGAAGATCGATGCTTTTGAGCTGTGGTGCTGGAGGAAAGTTCTGAGAGTGCCTTGGACTGCGAGAAGATCCAACCAGTCCATCCAGGAAATAAAGCCCGACTGCTCACTGGAGGGAAGATACTAGAGACAAAGTTGAAGTACTTTGGCCACATCATGAGGAGACAGGAAAGCCTAGAGAAGACAATTATGCTGGGGAAAGTGGAAGGCAAAAGGAAGAGGGGCCGACCAAGGGCAAGATGGATGGATGGCATCCTTGAAGTGACTGGACTGACCTTGAGCGAGCTGGGGGTGGTAACGGCCGACAGGGAGCTCTGGCGTGGGCTGGTCCATGAGGTCACGAAGAGTCGGAGACGACTGAACGAATGAACAACAACAGCATTTTTAGAAAATATTCAGAAATGGAAAATTAACCAAAAACTGGCCCTGATGTGGACCAAACACAGCCACGAGACAGGACAAACGAGAGCACACACCAACAGAAGAGTCTTTTCTTTTTTAGAATATTTTTTGTATTTTTTTAAGAATAAAAGGCAGGTATTTTTAGAAAATATTCAAAAATGGAAAATTAACCAAAAACTGGCCCTGATGTGGACCAAACACAGCCACGAGACAGGACAAACGAGAGCACACACCAACAGAAGAGTCTTTTCTTTTTTAGAATATTTTTGTATTTTTTAAGAATAAAAGGCAGGTATTTTTAGAAAATATTCAGAAATGGAAAATTAACCAAAAACTGGCCCTGATGTGGACCAAACACAGCCACGAGACAGGACAAACGAGAGCACACACCAACAGAAGAGTCTTTTCTTTTTTAGAATATTTTTTGTATTTTTTAAGAATAAAAGGCAGGTATTTTTAGAAAATATTCAGAAATGGAAAATTAACCAAAACTGGCCCTGATGTGGACCAAACACAGCCACGAGACAGGACAAACGAGAGCACACACCAACAGAAGAGTCTTTTCTTTTTTAGAATATTTTTTGTATTTTTTTAAGAATAAAAGGCAGGTATTTTTAGAAAATATTCAAAAATGGAAAATTAACCCAAAACTGGCCCTGATGTGGACCAAACACAGCCACGAGACAGGACAAACGAGAGCACACACCAACAGAAGAGTCTTTTCTTTTTTAGAATATTTTTTGTATTTTTTAAGAATAAAAGGCAGGTATTTTTAGAAAATATTCAGAAATGGAAACTTAACCAAAAACTGGCCCTGATGTGTGGACCAAACACAGCCACGAGACAGGGCAAATGAGAGCACACAGCAACAGAAGAGTCTTTTCTTTTTTTGGAATATTTTTTGTATTTTTTTAACAATAAAAGGCGGGTATTTTTAGAAAATATTCAAAAATGGAAACTTAACCAAAAACTGGCCCTGATGTGGACCAAACACAGCCACGAGACAGGGCAAAGAGAGCACACACCAACAGAAGAGTCTTTTCTTTTTTAGAATATTTTTGTATTTTTTAAGAATAAAAGGCAGGTATTTTTAGAAAATATTCAGAAATGGAAAATTAACCAAAAACTGGCCCTGATGTGGACCAAACACAGCCACGAGACAGGGCAAGTGAGAGCACACACCAACAGAAGAGTCTTTTCTTTTTTTGGAATATTTTTGGTTTTTTTAACAATAAAAGGCAGGTATTTTTAGAAAATATTCAAAAATGGAAACTTAACCAAAAACTGGCCCTGATGTGACCTAACACAGCCACGACACAGGGCAAGTGAGAGCACACACCAACAGAAGAGTATTTTCTTTTTTAATATTTTTTTGTTTTTTTAAGAATAAAAGGCAGGTATTTTTAGAAAATATTCAAAAATGGAAACTTAACCAAAAACTGGCCCTGATGTGGACCAAACACAGCCACGAGACAGGGCAAGTGAGAGCACACACCAACAGAAGAGTATTTTCTTTTTTTGGAATATTTTTGGTTTTTTTTAACAATAAAAGGCAGGTATTTTTAGAAAATATTCAAAAATGGAAACTTAACCAAAAACTGGCCCTGATGTGGACCAAACACAGCCACGAGACAGGGCAAGTGAGAGCACACACCAACAGAAGAGTCTTTTCTTTTTTTGGAATATTTTTTGTATTTTTTAAGAATAAAAGGCAGGTATTTTTAGAAAATATTCAAAAATGGAAACTTAACCAAAAACTGGCCCTGATGTGGACCAAACACAGCCACGAGACAGGGCAAGTGAGAGCACACACCAACAGAAGAGTATTTTCTTTTTTTGGAATATTTTTGGTTTTTTTTTTAAGAATAAAAGGCAGGTATTTTTAGAAAATATTCAAAAATGGAAACTTAACCAAAAACTGGCCCTGATGTGGACCAAACACAGCCACGAGACAGGGCAAGTGAGAGCACACACCAACAGAAGAGTATTTTCTTTTTTTGGAATATTTTTGGTTTTTTTTAACAATAAAAGGCAGGTATTTTTAGAAAATATTCAAAAATGGAAACTTAACCAAAAACTGGCCCTGATGTGGACCAAACACAGCCACGAGACAGGGCAAGTGAGAGCACACACCAACAGAAGAGTATTTTCTTTTTTTGGAATATTTTTGGTTTTTTTAAGAATAAAAGGCAGGTATTTTTAGAAAATATTCAAAAATGGAAACTTAACCAAAAACTGGCCCTGATGTGGACCAAACACAGCCACGAGACAGGGCAAGTGAGAGCAAACACCAACAGAAGAGTCTTCTCTTTTTTTAGAATATTTTTTGTATTTTTTTAAAGAATAAAAGACAGGTATTTTTAGAAAATATTCAAAAATGGAAATTAACCAAAAACTGGCCCTGATGTGGACCAAACACAGCCACGAGACAGGGCAAGTGAGAGCACACACCAACAGAAGAGTCTTTTTTTTTAGAATATTTTTTGTATTTTTTTAAGAATAAAAGACAGGTATTTTTAAAAAATATTCAAAAATGGAAAATCAACCCAAAATGGCCCTGATGAACAGCTAACACAGCCAAAAGACAGGGCAGTCGAGAGCAAACACCAACAGAAGAGTCTTTTCCAACAAAGAAGAGTCTTTTCCAACAATGCAAGTCTTTACCGCAACCAACTAAGCCAACCCAAAGCAAGCCAAGCAGCCCTCCCGTCCCGGACCTCTCTCCTCCCTCGCCTCCGCGCAAATGAGCTCTGCGGCCACGCGGAGCCGCTTTTAAAGGCCTTCCCGGCCAATCAAAATCAGCCACGGTGCACTGCTTGGGTGCTTGGGAGCGCCGGATTGGCTCCCAGGCACCAGCATCCTCCATCCAATTTCCGAAACGGGCGGAAGCTCGTTAAAAGGATGGGGGATGCCGCTTCGATATTTTTAAACCCTTCCGGGTTTGAAAAAGTGTTTTGATATCGATTCGTAAATGCTAAAAATAACGAATGTTTAACGAATAACAAAATTAACGAACGAAACCGCACAGGCCTAAAAGAAGATATCTATATATATAAAAATGCTTTGTGCATAATGAGTACCTTAAAAACAAAAGAACCAATGAACGTAATCACACCAAATTTGGCAACAAAATGTCTCACAACACAAGGAGTGACCATCACTCCAAAAATTATGATTTTGTCATTTGGGAGTTATAGTTGCTGTGATTTATAGTTCACCTTCACTCAAAGAGCATTCTGAACTCCACCAACGATGGAATTGAACCAAACTTGGCACAAAGAACTCCCATGACCAACAGAAAATACTGGAAGGGTTTGGTGGGCATTGACCTTGAGTTTGGGAGTTGTAGTTCACTTACCTCCAGAGAGCACTGTGGACTCAAACAATGATGGATCTGGACCAAATTTGGCACAAGCTCTCAATACGTCTAAATATGCACACAGATGGAGTTTGGGGGAAATTGACCTTGACATTTGGGAGTTGTGGTCACTGGGATTCACAGTTCACCTACAATCAAAGAGCATGCTGAACCCCACCAACGAGAGAATTGGGACAAACCTCCCACACAGAACCCCCATGACCAACAGAAAATACTTAAGGCCATCCAGTCCAACTCCCTTCTTCATCAGGGCGAGAAAACGTAATCAAACCCCTCCTGACAAAGAGCCATCCAGCCATAGATATAGATGGATATATATGACTCTCTCACACACAGGTATAGTATCAGAGATTTGAAAGGGACCCCTAAACAAGGACAATTCTATGTTGCATGCTCCAGAGTAGGCCAACCAGACAATCTCTACAACAACACAAGCATAAAGAAATTACATATATTAGAAACCAACATTTTCTCATTACTTTATTTTCCAGATCACCAGACTGGGCCACAGCAACGCGTGGCAGGGGACAGCTAGAGAGAGAGAGAGAGAGAGAGAGAGAGAGAGAGAGAGAGAGAGAGTATATACTGTAGACTCATGTATATCTGAGCCTACACTGCCACATGATCCAGTTCAAAGTAGATAATCTGGATTGTATATGGCAGTGCAGAAGGGGCCAGAGAAGGGCCACAGATACAGCACTCAGGAGCCCCACTGAGGGGCAGGCAGCCCACTTGAAGCCAGCCCTGCAGAAAGGGAACGGTGTTGAAAGGCAAGGCGGGGCTGGGAAGAAACAGAAAAGAGGGGGAATCCTCTGGCAAGTTGACTTCTGCAGAGGCCCAGTAGGCCGCACTTCAGGGAGACCCGGCGCTCCAGGCAAGGGCCTCTTTCCAAAGAATGGCTCAAAGAGGCACCCAGAGAGAGAGAGAGACAGCGAGGGCGGGGCAGGAGGGGAACCGCGCGCCCCAGAACTCCCAACGTTCGGAACAGCCATTCAAACTGGGAAGGGGAGGGGGAGGGGGTGCTTGCGTGCGCGCGTGTGTGTATGTGCGCGCGGGACGAAGCTCGGCGGCCCCACCTCCCCCCTTGCCCGCGTGCCAGGGTCCCCCTTTGCCCACCTGTTTGCCTTTCTCCCCTTTCTTACCTCCTCCGTCGTGCTTTTTTTCTTTTTCTTTTCAACCCCCCTCCTCTTCGCTGTTACCCAATGGGTCGAGAGGCACGAGGCGCCGCTTCCTCTTCCGGTTGAGCAGAGCAACGAGACTTGGAGTGGTCTTTCCCTAGAAGGGCCAAAGAAGGGAAAGACAAGCCACGGTGCCCGCGCGTTCTGTGCGGGAGCGCGCATTGCAGAGTGCCAAAGTCCGAAGGGCGCATGCGCTCCTCTCGCCCACGGTGGGAAGCATTCTCCTTAAGTTCTTGGCACTTCCGATATGCTGTTTAGACCCCCCTTTCCACACAGATGCGTAAAGTCCCACATTATCTGCTTTGAACAGAAAATATGGTTTACATGGCAGTATGGGTTCAGATAGAAATTCTACAGGTTGATGCAGCATAACTTCCTTTTTTCAAAACTTAATAAAACCCATTGTATGGACCATCTTAACAGCATCCACCCAAACATCCAGTTCACTATGGAAAAAGAAAAGGAAGGAAGACTGCCTTTTCTAGATGTCCTAGTCATCCGCAAACCAGATCAACAATTGGGTCACACCGTCTACAGAAAACCCACACACACAGATAGATATCTACATCAAAACTCCAACCATCACCCAAGTCAAAAAAGAAGCACCATTAAAGCCTTGGCAGACCGTGCAAAAAGAATCTGCGAAGCCCACCTCCTCCAAGGTGAACTGAACCACCTCAACTGGGCTCTCCAGGCCAATGGATACTCCACCTCAGACATCAGAAGAGCTGCAAGACCAAGAACAAGCCACGAGAGTCAAGACGAAGATCCACCCAGAGGAAAAGTGTTCTTGCCATACATCAAGGGAACCACTGACCGCATAGGGAAGCTGATGAGGAAACACAACATACAAACTATCTACAAACCCACCAAGAAAATCCAACAAATGCTACGTTCAGCAAAGGACAAGAGGGATCCTCTCACCTCGGCAGGAGTCTACCGTATACCATGCAGCTGTGGACAAGTCTACATAGGGACCACCAAACGCAGCGCCCAAACACGAATCAAGGAACATGAAAGGCACTGCAGACTACTTCAACCAGAGAAATCAGCCATAGCAGAGCACCTGATGAACCAACCTGGACACAGCATTTATTTGAGAACACAGAAATGCTGGACCACTCCCACAACCACCATGTCAGACTACACAGAGAAGCCATTGAAATCCACAAACATGTGGACAATTTCAACAGAAAGGAAGAAACCATGAAAATGAACAAAATCTGGCTACCAGTATAAAAAATTCTAAAATTGCAACAGCAAAAACAGCAGAGAGAAAAACAGGCAGGGACATCTAATCACCTTTCAAGAAGAGTTTGCTCCAGGCACAGTCAGCCCATTGTATGCTAATCAAGGTGGTCAGTTGAAAGATTCACACCTAGCCCAACTTACAAAAGCCCTTTGTCTCACCCTGGTCATTCCAAAGATATATAAACCCCTTTTTCCAGTTCCAGCAGACCTCACCTCTGAGGATGCTTGCCATAGATGCAGGCGAAACGTCAGGAGAAATGCCTCTAGAACATGGCCATATAGCCCGAAAAAACCCACAAGAACTGAGTGATTATTTATTATTTATTTACAGCTTTTATATTCCGCCCTTCTCACCCCGCAGGGGACTCAGGGCGGATTACAGTGTACACATATATGGCAAACATTCAATGCCAATTTTTGACATACAAACATATACAGATGTACACAGAGGCTATTTAACTTTTTCTGGCCGCCAGGGAGCTGTTGCTTTCATCGTCTATCTGCGACACTGATGAAGTACTTCCACATTCCCCGCATGCTTTTGCTGGAGTGTTTTTTATGGCCTCATAAATTAGTCAATTTAGCCTCCCCACACTTTAAGGTGGTACCTTATTTTTCTACTTGACAGATGCAACTGTCTTTTGGGTTGCAAAGGTCGACAACAGGCTACACAATTGATTGGAAACCCACTCCAACCCGGGCTGGCTTTGAACTCATGACCTTTTGGTCAGAGTGATCTTAATGCAACTGACACTCAGCCAGCTGCACCACAATCCCGGTGAATCAGAATTTTTTATTTTTTTAAATAATGTAGGCACATACCTAAAGTTTTGTTTTACGTAGTTTTGAAGATCAAATTAGGCAGGTGATGTCACCCATTCTCCATTCCCCATACACTTGGTAAACTGATTTCTAGCGTTTGTCGTGACTCTTGCCAGCATAGCAGGTGTTATGTTGGCAATTTCTTCCTGGATGTTGGTATTCAAATCTTGTAGGGTCCTTGGACGGTGCACATAAACACGGGATTTCAAAAAACCCCGTAGAAAAAAATCACAAGGGGCCAAATCTGGAGAGCGGGCCAGCCACTCCAAATCCACTCGAAGAGTAGACCTCAACGGCAAAAGCACGCTCCTCACTGTTCCAATGCATGATGGCCACTGAACTGTGTCAGGACAAAACTTTATACTCCCGCCTCTCGAAAGAGACCAATAGCACTCTGCTACGTCTTCAACCGACTGAATGGCGTGCATTTTAAAAAAAGAAGTTATGCTGCCTCAGACTGTATAATTGAAGCCCTTACGACCTGATATGCCCGGCTCACCTGTAGGGGCAAAGAAACAATGGACTGTAGTTATGTTATAGTTGTGCCATTGTTAGGATCCCACGTGTGCTATAATGTCAATCGAAATCATAAACAACAAATGAACAACTGCATAACTAACTTAGACCAATGAAATGATTTGTCTTTGGGAACCAATGAAAATGTATATTCCATTTACTATAAATGCTCTGCAGCCCCATTGGGGGGTTGCGACAAACCCTTTGATTGCATCCCTGTATGTTTTTTTGTCATTATTGTTATGGCCACGCAATAAATAGGTTTTTTTTGCAGTTTAAAAGATTCAACTTTCGTGGTGTCCATCCTTGCCCTCCCTATTAGAAAGGAGGCTTCGGCCTTTTTGGGAAATATTCTGGTTCTCTGACCATTATTTATTTATTTATTTATTTTATTTACTTCATTTGTTGACTGCCGCTCTCAGCCCTGGAGCGACTCGCGGCGGTGTACAACATATAAAAACAGTCTACAAAAACATACAATGAATCGACAACCAAATTACACATTAATCTAAACACAATAATAAATCCGTGCCATCAACATAGAGAACATAGCCAATCTCATAATCCAAGGTCCATTCCAGATGTCATTACCAAATTCGTGTGGGTCTCAATTGAATGCCTTCCCGAATAGCCAGGTCTTCAGGCTCTTACGGAAGGCCATCTTATCTGTTAGTCTGTTGCAAACATGGCTTCAGAGCGACTGGGAAACTCGGGAGTTCTAACTAGCCAACAGCTAGCTGGTTTTGTCCGGATATACTGTTATCCTTAAATAGTAACTTCTTCTTTGGAGCACTGATTTCTCAAACAATCAGCATTTTCTGTAAACATAGGCCTACTGGAGAAATAGGCCAATATGGCAGTAAATCATGACATATGGGCATTGGTAAGATCTCTGAAAATTCCTTTTTTATCCGCTCGAAAAGTAGGCCTCAACGGCAAAAGCACGCTCCTCACTGTTCCAACGCATGTTGGCGACTGAACTGTGTCAGGACAAAACTTTATACTCCTGCCTCTCGAACTAGACCGCTAGCACTCCACTACAACTTCAACCGACTGAATGGCGCACATTTTAAAAAAGGAAGTTATGCTGCCTCACCCTGTATAATTGAAGCCCTTACGGTCTGATATGCCCTGCTCACCAAGGGCACATGGGCTTCTCAGTGTGTTGACTCTTTGATGATTCCAGATGTTCACTGGATACAGAGACTATCATCAAAGGCAGACTTACAACTACATATGTGTTTATGTGCCTGTAAGTAAACTGACAACCCCATAAATCCCCCAGGATGTTCTTAAGCAAGGAATACTCAGAGATAGATAGACAGACAGACAGACAGACAGACAGACAGACAGACAGACAGACAGACAGATATATATATATATATATATATATATATTATTTTGGTCCAGAGACCCTTATAACATCCGCTACGTCTTCAACCGAATGAATGGGGCACATTTTTAAAAATGCTGCCTCACCCTGTACAGCACTGAATGGAAAACAGAATGTTGGAGGACAGGAAAAGAGATTTAAAGATGGGCTCAAAGCCAACCTTAAAAGCCAGTTCTCAGTGGCAGAGACACTGAGAACTGGGAAGCCCTGGCTCTTGAGCGCTCCAACTGGAGGTCAACTGTGACCAGCAGTGCTGTAGAATTAGAAGAGGCACGAATGGAGGGTGAAAGAGAGAAACGTGCCAAGAGGAAGGCGCATCAAGCCGACCCCGATCGGGACCACCTTCCACCTGGAAACCGATAACCTCACTGTGGGAGAAGATGCAGATCAAGAATAGGGCTCCACAGTCACCTACAGACCCACCAATACACTAATCTTGGAAGACTATCCTACTCAGACAACGAGGGATCGCCTAACTGGAATTAACTGGACTCACATAATCCAGTTCAAAGCAGATAATGACAAATTTTCTGCCTTGATACTCTGGGTTATATGGCTGCGTGGAAGAGGCCTCAGTTTTAATCTCTGTGGTGAGTCAACTTTGTTAGGAATGCAATAACTCTTAGCACTGAAGTGTTAATAATGCTTTATAGTGGTGGCCAGTAGCAATAAAGGTAGATTGATTTGAGTGACCTGAAATGTACCCCTTTGTCAAACTGATCCTGCTCCCTCTATGATGTGGACTTACACACTTCAGCCCCCCCCCCCCAAATTCTCAGGGTGGTCAGCGAGAAGGCCTTACTGGTACATTATTTAAACTGTTATGTTTATTCATATCATGATCTGATCACCATGCTCAATATATCCCATATGCATGGGGGTATTGGGGTAACGATACAAAAGGTTTGCTAGGGTAGATCCTCTTTCACTCAGATTCAGCCTCCCCCTTCCACACAGCCCTATATCCCAGAATATCAAGAAAGAAAATCCCACTTGGAGTATCTGCTTTGAACTGGGTCATCAGAGTCCACACTCAGATAATGAGGGATTTTCTGCCTTGATATTTTGGGCTATATGGCTGTGTGGAAGGGGCCTCA